AAGGAACCAGATCTGATAAGGGGGCAGAAATATTTACTCCATTATTTCACGAGGCAGGTTCTTTGTTTCCCAGACACTTCCTGCACTGTTTAAAAATAGCTTTCCACAACTGTTCCAGGACTAGAATGTCCTTTTAAATAAAATTGGCTTTGAAGATGCGATTTCATTTACCCAGAGGAGGCTGCAGATAATCAGTCATCATTTTCCAAAACAATGCTTGGACCAGGCAACTCCAGGTCTCAATTTTAGTCCAACAGCAGCCTAAGCAGGATCGCTGGATATTGTGAAGGTAGATTAAGTCGAGGACAGAGGTGACCCCCAAAGGGGACAAAACTCCCGACCATCTGGAAGGTAAAGACCAATGAGGTCACAAAGTCAAAAGTTGCCTCTTGCCCACTGTACCCTCAAGCTTCGCGTCTGAGGTTTTAACCAACTGGGAATTGAAACTATTCTGGAAAAACAAACCAAGAAAGTTGCCTCTTATCTGAAAGATCTGAGTGACAGAGAAGGAGGTTACTGTTCATTTTGCCAGGTGTGACCTTGGCATGGCAGTTAGGTAACATGTTACCACAAAGTATACTTCAACACATATGAGTGAGATGATGCCCTGACTCTGATTTGCTTTAAAACATTTCTGTAGGCTCGGCGCCTATAGCTCAACCGGCTAAGGCGCCAGCCATGTACACCTAAGGTGGCGGGTTCGAATCCCCAGCCTGGACCCGCCAAACAACAATGATGGCTGCAACCAAAAAATAGCCGGGCATTGTGGCGGGCGCCTGTGGTCCCAGCTACTTGGGAGGCGGAGGCAGGAGACTCGCTGGAGCCCAGGAGTTGGAGGTTGCTGTGAGCTGTAATGCCACGGCACTCTACCCAGGGGGACAGCTTGAGGCTCTGTCTCAAAAAAAAAAAAAAAAAAACATTTCTGTAAAGCACAGGACGAAAAGAATCCATGAAGCAAAGGTAGAAAAATCTAGATTAGAGTTGACACTAGGCAGGAGATGGGGGTAGTGGGTTATTGCCCTTTTCTCACAACTATTTATATTTGGAAATTTTCATAATACATTTTTTTCAAAGTAGATACTCTGTTCTTTAGGAAAGGGTGTGAGTGTTGTCTGTGGGGGAAAGGGCAAAGGTAGCTAATGTGGGCTGGGTGCAGTGGCTCACACCTATAATCCCAGCACTTTGAGAGGCTGAGATAGGAGGATCCCTTGAGGCCAGGAGTTTGAGACCAGCCTGAGCAAAATAGTGAGCCCCTCCCTGTCTCCACAAAAAAATAAGAAAAGTTAGCCAAAGGTGGTGGTGCACACCTGTAGTTCCAGCTACTTGGGAGGCTAAGGCAGGAGGATTATTTGAGCTCAGGAGTTCAAGGATGCAGTGAGCTATGAGGATGCCCCCGCACTCCAGCCTAAGTGACAGAGCAAGATCCTGTCTCTATTTAAGAAAAAAGGAAAAAAGAACCAGGCAGTGTGGAGATGGATTAGCGGCATTGATGTTGATGACTCACACAGCAGGAGTGCGTGTGTCTCTGTGTGTGTATCTGTCTCTGGGTGTATCCATTTGTGTGTGTGTGTCTGTGTGAAGCAAGGAAAGAAACAGGATTTAAAACTTGGCTCCTTTTGAGGGGAGGTCTGAGAACCTCTTTAAGAATCAGATGAAAAAGCTATAAATACCCTGAGCATACATACATCCCAAAACAAAATAAACCCACAAATGTGCATTCATGGGTTCACCAATCCCCTAAAACCCATCCCATCCCCTGGGTAAAAACTCCTAATACAATGCACGATTTTCTACTTCTAAGAAATCAAGAGGCTCTTTCTATCTTTTCTAGATAAAACGAATACGTAAACAATCAGAAGGCAACAAGAAACTAGAAACCCTCAGATTTTCTAAGAAAGAGGCCACCACCCCTGTCTGGCTTGTGGCTCCTGGCAAATGACACTGAAGCTTGGTTTTCCCATCAAGAAAATGTGCTGACATCCACCCTCCCCACCTGCACGGTTTCTGTGAGATCCCAACAAGATGTTAGAAATCGAATCACTCTAAAAACTGTGAGGGCGTATGCCAAATATAGAGTGTGGGCCTCACCTTCACATGGTGCCAAAGTTGTGACCACCATGGACAGAGGTGACTCAGTGCATTCCCCAAAGAGATATGACTGCAGGGACACATGCCTTGGGGCTTTCAAATATTTTCTGAGGCCTCCCCTGCCCCACCCCCACAGGAGGAAGGAAGCCATGGGAATCGCCTCCAGCTATGACCACATTCTGGGAGCTTCTCACTGTACCAGAGGGGATTAGAAGCACCTTCAAGTTTACAAAGTGAACAAACTCCCTAATCCATAAAACAAGGCTGTTCCACTGGCACCAAAGAATTCTCTCTCACACCACCCTCAACTCCACAGCCATAGAGAACCAGCCTGTAAAAGGAAGATTACCAAGGCCTCAGTGTGTCTTGGGTCAATTGCTATATTCCCTGACATGTGCCATAAACTTCAACTGTGGGCTCACAGTTGACCACTGAACAACATAGGTCTGACCTGCCCAGGTCCACTTTTATGTGGATTTTTCTCCTGTCTCTGCCACCTGTGAGACAGCAAAACCAACCCCTCCTCTCCCTCCTCCTCCATCTCAGCCAACTCAAACGTGAGGAACTAAGATGAAGACCTTTGTGACGATCCACTTCTATTTAAGGAATAGTAAATGGATTTTCTCTCCCTTATGATTTTCTTAAGCTTCTTTGATTGTAAGAAAGAGTAGATCTTACATAAAACATAAGAAATCTGTGTTATTTTTTCCGTTATCAATAAAGCTTCTGGTCAACAGTAGTTAAGTTTTGGGGAGTCAAAAGTTACATGCAGATCTTTGCACAGGGGTCAACCGCCTCAGCCCCCATGTTGTTGAAGAGTGCACTGTATTTTCAATCTCATAAACTATTGCCCTGAGATGACTCTATGAAACAAAGTATCTAAGCCTGAAAAGCTGTCTTTTTTTTTTTTTTTTTTTTTTGAGACAGAGCCTCCAGCTATCCCCCTGGGTAGAGTGCCATGGCATCACAGCTCACAGCAACCTCCAACTCCTGGGCTCAAGCGAGTCTCCTGCCTCCGCCTCCCAAGTAGCTGGGACCACAGGCGCCCGCCACAACGCCCAGCCATTTCTTGGTTGCAGCCGTCATTGTTGTTTGGCGGGTCCGGGCTGGGGATTCGAACCCGCCACCTTAGGTATACGTGGCTGGCGCCCTAGCCGGTTGAGCCATAGGCGCCGAGCCTGAAAAGCTGTCTTTTAAAAATAAACCTATCTCCAAGGGATCAAGGTGAACACAGCAGTGATAAGTCATGCCAATAGCAGCTACTCTTATCATTTATTTATTTTTTAGAGACAGGGCTATGCAGGTTAGAATATATTGGCACAATCATAGCTCATGGTAGCCTCAAACTCCTGGGCTCAAGCAGTCTTTCTGCTTTGGCCTCCCAAATAGCTGGGACTATAGGTGCCTGCCACAATGCCTGGTTTGTTTTTCTGTTTTTTTGTGGAGATGTTGTCCAGGCTGGTCTCCAGTTCCTGGCCTCAAGCAATCCTCCAGCCTTGGGCCTCCCAAAGTGCTGGGATTACAGGTTCCTCCAAAGGGGAGGGAGAAAACAAAGGCATTCCCAGAGAGAGAACACTGAGACGTAACTGACTTCCTCTACTATGATGGAGAAGGGGCGGGGTCCATACATGTTCTTCGGTACCCAGTAAAGTCTGATTTTGAGGTGGTACATTCTGGCATTTGCATCTCACTCCCTTCTGAATCTGCCCGGTTTGTGTGTCAGAGGTTCTCTGCTGTATGGTGCTGTGGATTGAATGCTCCCCCCAAAGCCTGTGTTAAAACTTGGGATGATAGAAGAGGTGATTAGACCGTGAGGGCCCTGCCCTTATGAATAGATTCAAGTGGTTACTGTGAGAAAAGGCTGTTCTAAGAGTGAGCTTGGCCCTCTCTTGTGCCCTCTTCCTCTTCCATCCCCCTCCATGGAATGACTAGGGCATGAAGGCCCTCACTGTACACCGGCACCTCAATGTTGAATTTCTCCATCTCCAAAACTGTATAAAATAAATTTCTTTACAATTACCTATCTGTCATAGTCTATTATAGAAACATAGAACAGACTAAGACTTCTTGCATAAAGGTTGATCCAAGGCTGTGCTCAGGCTGCTCTGACCCTGGTAGGTTTGACCCTGACTTGGGCCCAGCAATACTTTGTGAGTTTCTAATCATCTTAATCTAAAAAAGGCTGACCTGGTATACAACGCAGGGGTCAGGGTAGGGGTTGTGCAGAGGACATCTGCAATGTCCTCAACAACTCGAGGATCTTCCCAACTATATCCATCTTCCAGAATGAGCTAAGGGAAATCAATGTGCGCGGGTTGGTGGTGAGAAGAACTTTGTGCACACCCAGCATTGGTAAACCACATGCAGGAAGCTCAAACTGGAGTCATGTGTCAAAGTGCTTTGGTTGCAGTGAGGTCACAGCCAATGATTTCAGATACTCTTTGCACTGGCAGGGGATGCATTTCGGAAAATTGTGGAAAATTTCCAAAATTGGCTCTCTCTAAGGACCCAGAGCAGTGTTTTCCAACCTTTTTTTTTAAATCTCATGGCATACTTTACCCTATAGTTAAACTTCCACGCCACACTTAAATTATGTTGATCAAAAAACAGTAAAATAAAGAGAATATACTTACTGTGCTTTGAACTTCTTTCAAAAATAATTTAGTTAATGATCTTTAAAAATTTTCACCACACACCTAAGATCCTTTCACAGCACACCAGCTGAAAATCGCTGCCCTAGAGTAGCCTCAAAAACTTAGGATTTAAACAGGAATGTGCAACCATTTCCAAAGTTGATCTGCTCCTATGCTACCAGTGCAAGGAAAACAATTTATAAATAGATTAAAGAAGATTCTTGTGTTTTATATTAAAATATTTTATATTAATCATTCAAACTTCATTTTTATACAACGAATGCATACATCGCTGGGGGGAGTGTGTCTCACTGGATGCGGGGGGCAGGGCTGATGGGCAGGGGTGAGGAGGGATGGGGCAGGGAGGCCTTTGGCACCCCCCTTTGCTCGGCCAGCCGCCCTGTGCATGTTCTCAGAGGAAGAGGTGGGTTCAGTTAGCCCACAGTGGGTGGCATACTGGAGAGAAGGACCCAAGATAGCCTGTGCAAGACACTTCCCAAGGAGATGTGATCTCTCCAGGTCTTTCTGACTGCAGCTGCATTTGCATGACCTGAATGAGCCCTCCAGAGTGCCTAGTTCTTGATGTATGGTGGCTGTGGCATGTCACAACATGAAATGGGGACTGCTCTGAGTGTGTGTGTGTACATATAGACATCTGCATCATCTCCACTCTTATACCGCCTGCGCCCCATCCTGCCCTCGCTCACAGCCCCGCGCCTAAGCAGCGGGCATGTCGGCCTTGCTGAGCGCGATGGCCAGCTCCAGGTCCTCCTGCTCCTGCCGCCGCAGCCTCGCCAGCCTCTCCTGCTCTGCCTTCTCGCTCTCCCGCTTGGCCCACGCCAGCTGTTGCTCCTCATTGCCAAACTGCAAAGGAAAAAGGGAGGGTGGGTTATATGGCTCCGGGGCTGACACCTGTCAGCTGTCAGGGATTTGCAAGGCTAGAAGGTAGCGTGGAAGAGGGGACACATGGCTGAGTGTGACCTTAACGATGACCTCTGGGCCTCAGAGAAACCAGCTGCCCCACCCCTTAGAGAACCTGGGACAGACAACACCAGGATGCTGAGTGGCCAAGAGGTGCTGAGATGGGAGGTTCAGGTGCACGTACACCTGAGCTGCAGGCGCGCCAAGGGGCTCTGAAGCCCCAGAATGCAGGGATGACTCTGCCCGCTGCGAGTGCAGCATCTCTATCTCCAGCCATGCTGGGGAGCTCTGATCCACACATTCACCAAAACCCTGGTATTTACTTGCCATAAGCAGTTTTATAGAGATATTTTTCTGAAATGTTCAATTTTTAAAAATCATTCTTTTAAATAAAATAGGAGAAAACCATCTTTATCCAGATATAGGCGATCTCAAACCATTCAACATATCTTAGCTGAAAAGAAAAGCCGGGGTGGTGCCTGTAGCTCAGTGGGTAGGGCACTGGCTACATATACCAAGGCTGGTGGGTTCTAACCTGGCCCAGGCCTGCTAAAAAACAATGACAACTGCAACAACAACAAAAAAAATAGCTGGGCATTGTGGTGGGCACCTGTAGTCCCAGCTACTTGGCAGGCTGAGACAAGAGAATCGCTTAAACCCAAGAGTTTGAGGTTGCTGTGAGCAGTAATGCCACAGCACTCTACCGAGGGTGACATAGTGAGACTCTTGTCTCAAAAAAAAAAAAAAAAAGAAAAGAAAAGCTGCATTTGAAAGCTCCTCCCTGCCATGGGCTCTCATTTCCCTGACATCCCCATCACTCTGTGCTCTGTCCCCACGTGAGACACCTCCAGCACTGTTGGCCCCAAGGAAAGCTGTTGCTTGTTTGGTCTTAATAGTTTCCCTTAATCAACATCTCTCTCCATCCAATGCACTGCCTCTGTCCAACTCCCTCCTAAACTTTATTGGGGGCAATACTGAAGATAAGACACATGCGTAGCTATGACACATGCAGGAGTGTGACTCTTCCCAAAGTCCCCTAAGGAGGAGAGTGACAAGCTCACTATGATCTAGGCCAGCGGTTCTCAACCTGTGGGTCATGAACCACAGGAACTGTATTAAAGGGTTGTAGCATTAGGAAGGTTGAGAACCACTGATCTAGGCCCTCATGGGGGCCCCTGTAGATTCCCCCAGGGGCACTGAGAAAGGGTACACATGGGAACACTCATGGCCACTTCTTCACACGTAGCATGTATGACAACCCAGGGTATGGGCCTGCTGTCACAGCACCCCTCTGACCAGATGGGGACACTCTAGACCCCCTTCCTGGGCCCAAGGAAAGGGCATGAAGCTATCAGCTGTGACTGACAGGGACGCTGGGTGAGCACTGGCCTGTATGCCATCTTGGGTTCAAGGCTCAGTGCCCCACTTGAGGTCACCAAGATGCAGTATGGGCTAGAAGGAGGGACTTGGGGGCCCCATAGAAGCTCTGCGGGCAAGTAAGTGGGGTGACTTCAGATGGGTGGTTTCTGAAGGCTTCACAGCCTGATGGCTAGTATGGGGGAGGGATGAGTGGAAAGAGCCAGATGCGGCAACCAGGATGGTGCAGAGCCCAGGAGGCTTCCCTCCACCTGGCCCTGGGATGCACACAGGGGATAGGTGTGTGGCGGTTCAGTATGAAGGAAAAACGTCCCCTGGGAGGGAAGGCCAAGGCTTTTAGAGGCACTGCCCAAATGAGCACTTGGGGACATAATGGATCTCTGGGTTGGAATCCCTAAAACCTGGTCCCTCCTCCTGGCCTTTGTGTTCCCATCACAGGCCACAGATAAGTGCCTCCCCCAATACACACACTTTGGGGAATTTTCCAACACCTCATCTGGAGAAAAACAAGGAAAAAACAACAAATGTTGGTGGAAATTGTTCCATAGTGCCACTGACAGGGACCTCGCCCTCCGCCAGCCCTGCAGATGGCAGTGGGGGAAGCTGACAGGAGTGACTGTGATGATTCTAATCAAAGTCTAGAACCAGCCCCAAGGAGCCAAGTAACAGGCCTATTGGGTCCAAACCACACCTTCTGGCCTTTTCTTCTTAGCTCATGTGTCCCAAAATGTCATAGAAGAGCCTCCCGCTCGAGGGGTCTGCATTTCCAAATTAAACATGCCAACAGGAAACTTCTGGGTGATTTTGGAGTCCATTGGTTCAAGGCTGGTTCATGAATCTGACACTGAGACTTGTGTTACGAAGTTATGAGGTTTGCACACATTTGCTGTGATGTCTGGGCAAGGTGTCCAAAAAGAAGAGTCTCTGCAGCTCCCTCTATGTCTTGAACAAGGGAGACAGGGCCACTTTCTAGTTCTCTGATCTAGAGGGATCACAAGATGGACCAGGATCTAGAAGGCCCATGTGTGCTGAGGTTTCGTGAATGGTAAGTGGGATGCACACCAGCTCCGATTTCTGCTTCCCTCTGCTACAGCACGGAACAAAGACACAGCAGGTACAAGAACACTGCCTTTCTAAGACACACCCTTGCTGAGGTCTGCCCACTCAGGATGCAAGTTAAGCGGGGTTTGATTTCTGCAGTCTCTTGGAAATTCGTAGTGCAGATGCCTTAGCACATGGGGGCAGGGGGCATCATGGACGGCCCCCTGGGGCACCCAGCACCTCTCCTCCCTAGGAACAGATGCACCTGTGCTCTGAGGCATCTGAATAAGCCCTACTGCATGCAGGGACACTCCTAGCTGCCTCCTGTTCCTTTACTTATTCTGATGTGGAAATTGCATCCAACTTGTTAGACAACACAGAGCACAGCTTAGCTTATCTGAGATCTGTGTGCTACTCTTAATGCAGACTTACAAGAAAAAGAAGAACCGTTCTGCTAATCTGTAAATGCTACTTCCTAATAAACACACTTGCTTGAGGCAGAAAGGTTTGTTTTAAAAGAAATGCCAGAGGAGGAAGAGGTTTCCTTGAACAGCTACAAGCACAAATAACCCACTGATAGAAATACAGGGCTCGTAAATTAAGAGAGTTCCAGAGTGGCACAGACAGGGCTCCAAGGCTCCAAAGGGATAATCAAAAAGCAGCATGTGAGTGACATAAGTTCCCCTGGCAGCCAACCTGGACTGAGTTCCTTTTGCTCGGGTAATAACATATCCTGAACAGCACTCTTAGAACACCTGATCTGCAAGATTCCTGATGCCAGTCTGCTGGCCAGCTGGAGATCACTTAGCACTGACTCAGGGAGGTGGAAATACTCAAACTGGAGGAACCCCAGCTTTGGCCTCTTCTGAGTGAGCACAAACATTCAAGGTCTGGTGAACCTAGATACCACTGGCCCATCAGGTGAATCCCCAAATGCCATGAATCTGGAAAGATGTTCTGAGTCCCCAGAGAAGGGATGGGTAAGACTATGGTATGATTAAGTAGACAAACAAAAACAACAAAGTGTCCTGTCTTTGCTTTACCCATCCCATCAGAGTAAGCCAAACTGCATTACCTGATAAATTCCTCTGGAAAAACCAGGGTGTTTACAGTCGAAAAGGTGATTTTAAACAGAAGACCAGTGGAGATATATATTAGCCTGGGCACAATTGATTCCCACCTGAAGATGAGGGTGATGAATGATAGGGGTGGTGGGGTAGGGGGTGGGGGGTGGGGTGTGTTTTAAAATCAAAGTTAACAACTGTCCTGAAGCAACCAGAAATGTGAAGCCAAACAATAGCTTAAGGCCTTGGATATTAAAAAAAAAAAGTTTCTAAAAAATGAGCCCCTTGGGGGTGGCGGTTAGGGTCACAGGAAATAGAACCATTCATTTCAGAAAGAGAACAGTCATTTCTTTAAGCAAACTTCACTCACCTAACTTTTCCCTACCCAAGACAGAGTACCTGAGTCATGTGTGAATAGCTCTTTTTTTTAACAGCATTTAATATTTTTCCACCAGAAAATAAACGGTATGCTATTTAAGAAACTCTAGATAAAGTGGGTTTTGTTTCTGGTTTTTATTAACAATGTCACCATTTTGTACCCATCCACAGTGTGCACAAACTGTCAACAAAATTGAACTAACTGCTGTCATAAAATATTTACAGGTCAACAAGAGCCAGCAACGTGGTAGGGTCTTGGGCAATTTTAAATAAGCCACAGGATAGCTGTGCACAGTGGATGTCACCAAGATGGCTTGGAAACAAATCGGATGTTTTTGTTCATTGATAAGGCAGGGCTTATTTTAAAATGGATAGCCAACTACACATAATACATCTTACATTTAATGAGAAAACTAGATATTTAACACATTTGAGGGAGGAAAACCATGTTTTGTGAAACTGATTTCTGAGAAAACAACACCTGCAGTTCTTAGAGAACAAGAGTTCTGTATACCAAGGAGGGTGCTGAAGGACTCCCTCAAGGGACAGCATTTGACAATCGGGAATATTTTTATCACAGAGGAAACAAAGCCAGATTTTCAGAATCCCAGAACCAGCTTCTGAAAAGGCACTTAACTTTGCTAAGTGTCTTTTTTGAGCCCTTTTGTTTTGTTTCATTTTGGCAAAGGATAGGGTTCAGAGTGCTTGTTCTAGATTGGATTTCTTTATTCCTTGCAGCTGGTAATTGAAAGAAAAGTCAAAAAAAAAAAATCAAATTGTTTTTCCTTTGTGTTCCATGCAAGGCTTCAATCTGTACTTGCTGCACAAAACATATCTGGCCAGAACCACCAGGACTTTGTGCATAAAGACCTTTCTGGGGATGACAGAATCCTAACCTAACGTTTGCAATATTGTTTTCATACTTCAAAAGTGTCTGACATTTTGGCTTCCAAAAATCACTGAAGGCAATAGCTTCATGTGACAGAAATAATAACATTCTACCACCCTGCAGGAAGAAAACCATATGCCCTTACCATACATAGAATATACAGACCATAGCTCTTTTTTTTTTATTAAGAAACTTTTTCTGACAGAAGCGGCAGTACCGAATAAATAACACAAATGACAGACAGCATGAGGTGCCGAGGACGAATAAGCTGGGAGGTTTGTCAAGTGAAGGAGACAAAAAATAAAATAAAATAAATAACCCCAGAGGAGCTACAAGCGCAGGGTGGGAGAGGGTGCCGCGGGTGCGGACGACTCAACTTACAGAGGTGAAGTCTGCAAAGCCCGAGGAAGAGGCCTTAGAAGGCTTAGCTGAAGAGAAGGGGACAAATGGATCTTTTCCACTAAATGGGTCCCCAAACCCCTTTTTATTTTGGAACGGGTCGCCGCTGTCAGCCCCGAGTGGCTGGAATGGATCAGGGGGTTCGGGAAAGTCTGCAGAACCAAGCTGGCTTACAGGTGTACTTTTACCTGGAAAGTTTAGGAGAAAAACAAAAGGAGAAAGAAAGAAATATAAGTGACTCACCACTGAATAGAGCAGGGTAAATGAGTGGGTCAAGCCCAGCTGACTTCTCTGGAAACCCTTTTGCTTTTCTGGGGAGAGCTAGGAATTCAGCTAATGGGATGGACCCTGGGAAATGCCAGTTTTATTCAGCTTTATCCCAGGGACTTAACAGGTTGTGAATGACAAAATAAAAACACTTTGGATGACATAGACACACAAACCCACACACATACACCAGCCAAAACATGAAAGTTGTCCTTAAAGAGTTTACAGGCAGGCACATTTCAAAGTGATTCACTTGAGTGTGACAAGATACTTACTACCACACTGTGTTAAAATCACAGCTGAGCAGAAAAATACACTGTAAGCTTCTAAAAGTTAAAAAAGGGCGGGGGAGTTACTTGACATGAAAGGGGGGGATTAGTTTCACAATGTGGTAGAGTTATTAGGCATGTTAGGTAGGAGGGTCTGCAGGCGGTTCACCAGACAAATGCATTCTGCTGCCCTGTTTAAATTCTTTTTGGCTCCCAGGGCTGTCCCTTTGGTGTTGGTGGCTCAAAGGAGCAGGGTTTGTTTGGGCCCTTCTGGATTTTTGCCGAGCAGGTGACTCCAGGATGCCTGGGTCCTACAGCAAGGCACATCTCAATTTAGAACTGAAGGGAAATAAGGCTGTGAGACCATGGGGGGTGGCCTAGGAGCAGGTGGCTTCTCCCAGCCTTTCAAGATTTGCCTAGTGAAGGGAGGCCCCCTGCTAGAAAAGCCTCTTGGAATCTGCCATTTTGCAGCCCAGCATAGCTGACCTGATGCTCTTGCCTGACACGGCTTTGTCTACCCAATAGGTACACAAGGTGGTCAGAGCACCTGCAGGCCAGACATTCAATCTGATCTGAGCATCACCCTAGGCCGGAGGCTTGATGACACTTGATACAATTCCAATTTGCTAACTGAGCTGCCTATGGTGACTCTTTAAGGTTCAAAGCTAATGTTCAAAAAGAAAGTAAGAACTCCATGGTTACCCTGGACCTCTGGCTGGTCCTGGCAGCATCCAGCCCTGGAATGCCCACCTTCTTCACTAGCCTCAGTCCCTCTGCACACCCAGATCTAAAGCCATTCTCTGTACTTCTCCAGCAAGTCAACCAGCCCAGGCCACAATTCTCAAGGCCCAAAGGGCTACAGGGCCACAGCCTGCATCTGCCACCTGTACCTCTGGGGCTTTGGCAAAGGCAAGTGCCTTCTTTCCACTGGCTTCGTTTTCCTTATCTGCAAAGTGGAAATGAAGAGCAGGGGCTCAGAGAAGGTGAACTGCACCAGCATGCACATCAGGCACTTGTATGGTGGGGGCCCATCAGGCCTGCAGCCCCTCTTCTGGAAACTGAACTTTACTTGTCTCTCAATTGGGGCCAACTGGAACCAGGTGACATAACATAGAACTGCTGGAACCCAGTCTGCTCTAAGCCTTAGGGATAGAGCTTTGAGCATCAAGGGCACAGGTGATCAAGGAAGCAACAGGAATGAGTTCGGGCAGGATTACCCACTCCTGTGAGAGTCCTGAGTCTCACCTAGATGGTGTTGGGACATTGGCGGTGGTGCCAGGGGTATGGCCACACGTGGGTGCATTAGTCACTGGAATGAGAGGACCTGGCCTGCTCACTGCCCAGCACAGCCACTGCCCCTTTCTTTTTGCGCATTCAAGGAAACATGAACAGTCTTCCTTTTCACATCGTGCACAGAAGGACATGGAGCCACAAGCGTGGGCAGCCCACCCCTGCAGCCAGCACCCTGGCTGTCAGAGCAGAGTAGCCCAAAAGGGGTCTGCCTGGGTTGCTGCAGAGTTCCTGGCCAACCTCTAGCCACCAACGAACATGGGAAACCTTTCCAGATTTCCAATGCCACAAGCAGCACCCCGCTGTGGGTCCATCTATGCAGATTTTCTTTCTTTCTTTCTTTTTGGTAGAGACAGAGACTCACTTTATTGCCATCAGTAAAGTGCTGTGGCATTACACAGCTCACAGCAATCTCAAGCTCTTGGGCTCAAGCGATTCTCTTGCCTCAGCCTCCCAAGTAGCTGGAACTATAGGCACCCGCCACAACACCCAGCTGTTTTTTTGTTGCAGTTTGGTCAAGGCTGGGTTTGAACCCACCACCCCTGGTATATGAGGCCGGCATCCTTCCCACTGAGCCACAGACACCGCCCCATCTATGCAGATTTTCTGGAAGTGACACTGCAGGGTTAGAGGGGATGCCCATTATGGCCTGCCATCTCAGTTATACTGCCCTGTGGCTTCAAATCAACTCAGTCAGCCACCAGCCCAGCTAGTAAAGCAGCCCTGGAAGTAGAAGGAGCTCACATAGACAGCTCTGCCCAAACCCCAGGGTGAGCCATACGAGACCCTTCCTCACAAAGGCGGTGCCCAGCCCACCTTGGGGCAGGAATGTGGGCCTTGTTCTCCCTCTGACAACACCTGACTCCTCAGGGAAGTCCCACAGCCTGCTGTGTCTTGTCCCTTCTTATTCCCAAATGCCCCTCCTGCCTGCCTGCTGCTCCGTGCCATCTGCCCTACCCCTTCTTCCTCCCTTGACATTCCTGGGTCTCCTGGCCACAGCCCCACTAGCCTATCCTGCTGGCCTTTAAGAACTGCCCCCACCACTTTCCACCCCCAGCAACTGGCACACTCTTGCTTCATGGGATGAGCCCTGGGCAAGTCACTCCTCCCTTTGGAGGGGGCAGGCAGCTCTGTGGGAGGGACCTGCAGACCCCATCCTCTCTCTGGGAGCAATAGGAACTCGACCACCCTGGGCCAGAGGGGGCCGGGTGCACTACCTTCAGCTCTCTCATCCCTAGAAACCATCTCTCCCCACCTTGACTGCCTCCCCTCAGCCAAACCCACCAGCACAGTGACTTTTCCTCTCACTGCTCAGCCCTCCCCAGGCCTCTCCACTTGGGTAACCCCCCTTTCCTCCACACTGGTACCTTTCTGCCTCTGCCTGGCTCTGGTCCTTCCTTCCAGCATCACCTGGGAGCAGCCTTAAGGCTGGCTAGTGTGGCTAACTCCCAGTCTACGGTCTCCGCAGCCCTTGTCACACAGCTTTGTTGTCACATCACTTAACCGTGTAGTTTTTCTTTCTTTGACAGCTCCATGTGGCTGGGGGTCCTGCTGTCAACCCTGTGTCTCCCCTGCCCTCTACTGAATGAAGCCCCCCCCCCAAAAAAAAAACCACTCACTTCCACTCCAGTCCCACCTCAGGCTGACAGTCCCTGTGAATTGGAAAGGCTCTCATAACCAGCAGCACCAACCTCATCTCTCGACAGCCCTCCCCAGGGTCTGGGCACACATCTCTCCCCCAGTAGCCCTAGGGTTTCTTTCCTGGCTCTGCTCAGAAGGTACTCCCAACTCAAACACCACTATGGGCTGGCACCTTCTTGAGGACCCTCTCCTCCTCAACACCTGTGCTCAGCTCTGCAGGCTCACCATGGGGTATGGCGGATGTGGCCCTGGAAGATAGTGAGAGGCATAGCAGCCACCTCCTTGGCCCTGCAAGGCCACTCTTAGTCTCAATATCCTAATCCAAGAAAAGGGCTGAACTATGCCATTACCTTCTCCAAATTCCTATGTTGACGTCCTAACATCCACTAACTCAGGATACGACTATATTTGGAGATAGGATTTTTAAAGGAGCAATTATACAAAAAACAGGTGATTGGGGTGGGCCCTGACCCAATGACTGATGTCCTCAAAGGAGAGGAGCTCAGGATGCAGACACACACAGAGATGACCACAGGAAGCCTGAGCAAGCCAAAGAAAGAGGCCTCAGGAGAACCCATCTGCTGACACCTTGATCTTGGAGTTGTGAACATCAATGTTTGCTGTTTGAGCCGAGTAGCTGCCCCAGCAGAATCATGCTGGAGTGGGGAAGGGACATGGCTGTGAACAGGTGTATGTGAGGAGACACCAAGGCCACCGGCAGCGTTATCCTGGCGGACAGTGTCTTGCCCATGGGTTTTCATGAGGAAGAGACGGTGGCCGCAGCCAGTCTCTTGCACCCCTCTCTGCCTCTGCATAGCCTCTCCCTTCACCTAGAAGCCCCCCTCTCCCAGGTGCTGACACAGCTCTGTCCAAGTCCCCTGGCACTGGCCTCTAGCATGCCCCAGGGCCAGGTCTATGAGGTCTGGGCCCAGTACACCGCAGGTGCCAGCCATTAGTGCCCTGTGTCCTTGGTGCTGGCCAGCCCAGGGCTTGGCAAACAATGGGCTTTGGCAGGACCTCCAGAGCCAGGTGCTGCCCATATAAAGTCCATGGGTCCTAAGGGACCCAGAGCCCTCTGGGGAAGCACTTCTGGGAAACCAGAAGGGAATAAAGGCACCAGGCCTTCCAGGATTGTAGAAAAGAACTAAATTAACCTGGATAGCAAATTCTAGCAAAGTAAACAGTATGCATTTGCAAGGGACAGGCTGACGTGGGGTGGACCAGTGACTGTCTGGGCAGTGGGGTAAGAGGAGGTTGACCCCAGCTAGGCCCCAAGAGTAACCACCACCGTGCTGAAGGTTCAAATAAATTCATCATTTCTGAATTGTTTTTCTTCTTTTCAGAGAGTATCTTTCTCCCTTGGTTTGGGGGATTAAAAAAAAAAGAAAAGAATTGGGAGTGGTGGTTTAAGAATCCAACCTGCTACAATTTTGAGCTGAGGTTTCTGACGAGCAAAGAGATTACTGAAGAGATGAAAAGCTTCGTTCACACCAAGAATTGCCTCTGCCTGGTTTTGCTCCGTTGCCGAAACCATTGTTATTTGAAATCATGACTATGTTAATATGAAACCAAGGCGCATCAACTGCTTGCCTCTTGTTTTCAGAGGGGAAAAAACGGTTTTTTCTCGGGTGTCTGTATTTGAGCTTTGGCGTAGAGGCAATATCGCACCTGACATGGTCAAGATTGGCCAAGTTCCCTGTTCACCTTGCTAATGACCAGGG